TCTGGGGCTTAGGGAGTGAGATGGAGTTCTTACCAGCTGCTCTGAGTGCAGTGGCTCCTGGATGACTCAGGATTCAGTTTCTCCACAGGACAGGAGCAGACCGACTCTGTGTCTGCTCCAGTCCAAGGGTACTTCCTATTTTCTTAAAAATGTTTTTCCTCGCAAATTTTCTCCAGCTTTTCATCCATTGTGATGTTGAGTGATAAGTTTGTGATTTTACCTTGTATTTATACTAGTTTTACATTCCACACCTCCAAGTATTTGGGGTTAGTCATGTTACATACTCTTATTTCTGTCTGGAGACTCCAGCTTATTTGTTTCATAATAGGGATGGAGTCATATGTCTATGTTGTAAGACTCGCCTGTTTGTTAGGGCTGATGATAGACACACATCTGAGAACAGAGCCGGCTTTGGCCAGGGAGAGCAACAGTTAAACTATCAATTTTTTCTTATCTAGATATGTACTAGGGGGCATTTTGGGGATATTGCATACTTTTTTGGAAAGATTTTCAGAAAAATTACTTTGATTCCTTTTTGACTTTATGTTGTCATGTTAATGATTCAGGTGATTTATGGTGTGGATTTATTTAGCTTCAAATGTTTTTATTCTCTTCTGAAAACAATATATAATTATTTTATAACATTTACAAGATGGCAGAATCAGAGTTGGAGAGATGACTTGCAGGTTAAGAAGCACTTGCTATTCTTACAGAAGACTTGAGTTGGATTCTCCCATCTTCTTCAGGCATCTCACAAACATCTGTAATTCCAGCTCTAAGAGATCCAGTGCCCACTTCTGGCCTTTGTGGGCCCTGCATATACATGTCTTTCCTTCACATAGAATACTTGTAGGTAAAAATAACGAAAGCAATCTTAAAAAAGATGGAAGAATGTTATGCTACTTTCTGCTGCCTAGGAGAGTTTTCTCATGTTTTGAAATAAAAATATACTTTTTACTTAAAGATTTAAAAGTATTTATTTTTGACTTTTCACATATGCATATAATGCACTTTGATCACAATATTGCCCTTTACCGTCTTTATTCCCCTCCCACTCCCTGTTTTTTTCCTTCCTAACAAGTCCCTAGCTTCATAGTTGCTTCTATGAGTGTGGGCATGGGGTTGTTTACTGAACTGGGAACTTAATAGTGGCTATAGCACTAAAGAAAACTGGCTTCTAGTTCCCCGGCAGCCATTAATTGCCCATACCTCCTAACGAGCCTTACGAGTCCTTTATTCATGCATGATGGAATGCTGATGGACTCAATGTGTTGTTGTTGTTGTTGCAAGTCTTGTATAGGTAACCACAGCTTCTGTGATCTTAGGAGTGCCATGGTCATGCCATGGTCTGGAGATAGCCCCTCATAGCACTTCTCTACATCTATATCTCTTTGCACCTTCTTTCGGGATGTTCTCTGAGCCTCGGATGAGCGTGGTAGAGATGTCTCATTTCGGGTGAAGCACTCAACAGCCATTATTAGCTGTTTTGCCAGTTATGAGTCTCTGCATTAACCATTGACCACTACAAAAGGAAGCTTCTCTGACCTGTGGACATTGGAACGGTTAATCTTAGTTATCAATTTGATCTAGAATCTCCCGAGAGAGATACTTCAGGGCTTGCCTGTGGGGATTATTTGGACTAGGTTAATTGAAGTGGAAGAGCATCCTTCTCTGGGCTGGGGATCTAGACTATAAGAAGAAACAGTGAGCTGAACACAATCATTGCTTTCTCCCTCTTGACTATGCATGCCGTGTGACCAGCCTCTTGATACCAGTTGGCCTGTAATAGATTTTACCCTGAAACTGTAAGCCAAAATAAAACCCTTTCTTTCTGCCTTAGGTTGCTTTTGTCAAGGTATGTTATCATAGCAACAAGAAAAAGTAAGAGAGACAAGTATAAACATAAGTGATTGAAGGCCATGTGACAACATGTTCATTTAGGAGAACAACAGTAGCGTGTTCTCCTACCATGCCTATTACCTACCCAGCCATGGGCTTTTGTGTAGGCTTGCAGAGCCAGGGATCATTTTCCTCCTGTGCAGTGGGTACTTAATCCAACTGGAAAGGTTACCTTCGTCACCATCATGCCATTATTGCACTAGTGGGCATATCTTATTGGCAGATCAGGATTGTAGTTCAGAGCACCCATCACTGGGTAAGATTGTTGATGTCTTTTTACCTCAGTGACCTGCATGGCATCTTCTGGTGCTATGAAAGATAGCCAGAATCGGGGAAGCTTGCAGCTCAATTTTACCTTAATTTCTCTATGCCCTGCAATCACAAGGTGTGGTGTCTTCAGCAATAGGGTCTTACCATCTAGTTCAGGGGGGCCACCCACCAAGAACAATGACAACATCTCTGAGACTCCCCCATATTTTTTAATTTTTATGATAAAGACAAATGTGACCTCACCCAGTACACAAACAGAAGGAATGTAGATTTGTATTTGTAATTTATTAGTGATGACAAGGCATTTCCTTCCTTTCTGTAGATTTTGAGTCTTCTGGTGGTTTCTGGACAGAACCAAATGTTAGAGAAGTCCTTTATGTTCCTCTGAAAGGTGAAGCAAACAAATACAACCCAACAGTGTGCTACTGAAGAAAGCATTCACAGGTAATGTTTTTCTTGCTGTGCTTGTTAGTTTGAGTCTGTTGAGAGTCACCTGGGAGGGGGACCCTCAGCTGAGGAATTGCTTTCATCAAAACCAACTGGCCCATGGGGCATTTTCTTGTTTAGTGATTGATGTGGCAGGGCCTAGCTCACTGTGAGTAGTGCCAGCTGTTGTAGGTGGTCCTCCATTTTACAAGAAAAACAAGCCACGGAGCCGATCAGTAAGCAGTGCTTTTCAATAGCTCTGCTTCAGTTTCTGCCCCTGGGTTCCTGCCTTGGCTTCCCTCAGTCGGCAGACTATAAGCTGTAAGATGAAATAAAGCTTTCCCTCTCCAAGTGCCTTTTTGGTCATGGTCTTGATCATAGCAACAGAAAGCAAACTAGGGTATTTATGGGGTTACTATTGGTATGTATCCAGTGATTTTAATAAACTAGTTTTTAAGTCAGCTCTACTTAAATATGTCTGCATATCCAAGTAAACATCATCACGTTCAAAACAGAGTTTTTGAGAATTTATACTCTATTTTTCTACTCAAATATTTACAAAACATTTCTTTGGGAATGCATTCTGGACACCCCCCCCACCCTCTCCTCCCCGCCAGTGGCATTCTTTTAAGCATCCTGTTTTCTGTGGAGGCATCTGTCAGCACTGTGGCACTGTATTTGAGAAACAAGGTAAATGCTTTTGGCTAAATAAAAACACTATTATGTTGACCAAAACCAAAAAGAAGAAATAATATAAGGTACCAAAAAGCAGAAATAGTATAAGGTAAATAGTTTTCCTTTTTGTTGTCTCTGTGTAATTGAATCCCTAGAAGGGAGTGTGTGTTTAAACAGTGATGACACTGTTTTTTAAAAAAGCGATTAGGTCATGTCATTTACAGAGAAACATTATTTATTTGGCTTATAAATATTGTTGTTCCTTCTTATTAAGATCAATCAATCTGTCATGGTTATAGAAATGTTACTGTATTAATCAGGTTAAATAAGGTGATATCCAAACTCTCTGATGCTGTCTACCTCTCAGGCTTTTTAATTTGCCTCTTATAAACGACTCCCTGCAGGTGTTTTGGAATGTTTCTCAAAACATTATCAGAGTGCTTGTTAAAATACACATTAAAAGTTTTAAATTACAGGGCTGGTAGTAGAGAGTATACTTACCATGAATGAGGTCCTGGGCTCAATCCTTTATACACTTACAATTCAGATGATTAGAATCCTGTCGTGACAAGGGCTGGGAATCTGCATTTTATGAGTATTACCAAACACTGACACCTCATAAAGAACAAACCCAAACTTCTATGTATATATGTACATTTGTATGTATATATGTATGCATGTATGTATGCATGCATATATATGTGAGTAACATGTATATACACCTAGACATATCTGTTTTATAGTTATTTACTTGATTTTTTGCTTTGAATGCAGTCATTTATTATGCTATTTTGGCAAGGGTTGTATTTCCGAGTAACTTATAAGGTCAAATTGAGGATATAATTGGATAAAATTGAATAAAATATTTGAACTTTATAGCTCCATTAGAAAGGGAAATGTTTTCCCCTGGATATGAATGGGCAAGCCTACTTTTTTTTTTCATCTAGCTGCCACATACTAAGTTGTATTAAACGTCTACTTTTCAAATGTCCTAGTAAGTCTAGGGCAGATCCTAACAGGGTGGCAGTGGAGGCCCCTGACCCATGCTGCGCCACACTGAGCGTCCAGTGCAGCATCTCTCAGTAACATTGTGCTGAGGTTGGGCTGTGGTTATGCTCTGGAAAGACATGTTTTCTTTCTGCTGTCCTGAAGTCTTGTGAATGCTTCAAACCCTTCAAATGAAAGGAACTATTAACATGTAATGAAGCAGCCGCTTCTGTAGGAAACAGTTTTCATTATATCCCTGCAATTCTGTCTTCTGTTATCCTCTGATGGTATAAAGCCCTAGTTTCCAGGGCCTAAGTGGAGCCAACATCATGACAGTAAAGACTGGGCACTAAGGAATTCTGTCAAAACTCTGGATCCATCCCCAGCCATCCACCTGTGTAGACATTGTTTGAAACCTGTTCTTGCCTCTTGGCTCCAGTAGGCAGTATTTGTTGAAAGAATGACTCTTAATAGTGTTTTTGGTTTTTTGTTTGTTTTGTTTTAATGGTTGTACTCTAAATATTGTACTTTTAAAAATAAAGTTTTATTGTTTTTGTGTTTTTGGTCAAAGTCAGGAGGATATTGGGAGATACAAAGAGAATATGAGAAATGAAAGAAAATATTATAACAAATATATAAGGCTTAAAGTTTGATGGGGATACCTAGAAGTCAGAGGGAACAGCACATGTGTAAAGTAACTGTGACTTAGGTAATGAAGGGATCTAACATTCACATGTATGTCTTGGGAGGAAAAGATAACAGACAGGGAAGGCACACAGCAAGAACATGAATGGTAAATGGATCTGAAAATGAACTTTAAAGTATTGAGGCGGCACAGCATAAAGCACTTGGGATTGTCCTGAGGAGGTGCCATCAGCAGAATTCATCTGTTATGAATTTCGGATGTCCTCAGAGCAGTAAGGCAAATAGCAGGCAGACAGAGGCAATTACAGGTATTCTGAGCTATTGAGAGACAATCACGTATTTGAGTATACTATTTGAGGGTTAAGAGCTGTCTAAATACGAGAGTAGCACTGAGAGCAGCCTAGGTGCTAGCATGCTGGGGATGGGAGTCATGCAGAATGGAGGGGTGATGGGGATGCCTCGGAGGTTTCTCAGGTTCTGTGGGAACCAGCGGGAGGCCACTGTACAAGATGATTTTCAACAGCAATCTGTCCTCAAGAGTTGTTTGGGACTAGGGTTTGCTAACTTAGCAAACCCTAAATAACACTAAAGGATCTTCCAAAATCAGTTATGGTTGGGTAGTCAAGCAGCTGCATTAAAAACAAAAAATCAAAAACCCCAAAAGCAAACAAACGACAAAAAAACCCCAAAACAAAAACTAAAAGTCTAAAGTTTAAACATTTTTATTTGTACATACCTTTTTATAATCTCTTAGGTTTGAATCTATATCTATTTTCGTTTGTGCAGGAAGTGTTTTCGTTTGTTTAGCCACGTTTGTCTCTTCATACAGCTCATGAACTTCACAATTTCATTCCCTGTTTTGTTCTCAGCATTTAAAGTCTCTTCTAATAGACCTGAATAGTTTAGAATATTTATGTTTGACTGTGTGTGCTGTTTACTTTTCTAGGTTTTTGTTTGTTTTGAGATAGGATTTCACTCAGTAGCTCTGGGTAGCCTTGAACTCATGGAAGTCCAAGTGCTGGGATTACAAGTGTGAGACCCCAACCCTGGCACCTGTTTTATTTTCAGCATAGTTTTTGAAATGCCTTATCTTTTTGGTGTTTGAGTGTGCCTGTCACACTTAAAGAACATCTCTAACATCTCCATGACAGTTTTCTAAACATTAGCCGAAGTTGGGCCCCATCATCCTTACTGGGAACTTGTTAGAAATGGATATTTTGGGGCTAAATCAGAAACCCCTAGGGCAGAGCCCAGTTTGTGTTAATGAGCCATTCTGTTGATTCCAGGGCAGGTTGGAGCCTGACCCTGGACATATTCAATAGCTATGTGCTGTTGCTGAAGTCACACATGGTCCTGTGCTTTGCCCCCTTAGCAGGTAGATTAGGGGTTCTCAACCTTTCAGAGCTTGTTCACAGGCTTAACCAAATCACCCCCTCAAACAAAAAACAAAACACCAAACCAATCAAAGAAAACAAAAACAAACACTTCCCCTCACACAACCTCAGGACTCAATGACCTCTGACCTTATGCTCTGCTGGCAGTTTGGCTGGTTTCTGGTGACCCAGTTATCTGCAGTCCAATCAGCTCTCTGAAATAGTTCTCATAGTTGCTGTCTAGACTAGGCAAGTATCTATCCTCCTCCAGCTCCAGAGCCAACACGGTTTAAATGGCTTCTTTGGGCTTGGTAACTGAAACCGTGAGGCCAGAACTTTATTTGCAAACAGCAATTTGAATTTTTTTTTAAGCCAACTGTGTTCGATTTCTTTCCTTGAACAGTCGGATTTTTTTTTTTAAAATCTACTCAGATTACTCTTTTTTTTTTTGTCCCCTGAGATTTATCCTCCATGGTAAGGCTGTTCACTGTGAAAAGAGCTTTTTAACCCTTCCTTGTAAACTTAGAGGTTTCCTAAGCAGCTGTCTAGGTAGTCCATATGAATCATTTAAACAGTGGTTCTAGGGAGCCCACTCCTCACTGCCTAGCCCTGTGTGTGGAGTCTCTACAAGGGTTCCTTAGGAATGATGCCTCCTTCATCTCAATATTATTCACTTTCTTTTTTATTTTAGTCTTTAAGAGTATTCTTATTAGGATTGATATTTATATGTCTTTCTCTTGTTTTTCAACACTACACTCCCAGCTCCCAAGTCTCTTTTTCTCCCCATATTTTATCTACAGGAGCCTCCAAGTTCTTTTTTGGTACCCATTTCTTTGTGTCTGCTATGTCCTCTTTCCGATGCCACCTTCACACTAGTATGTATCAAGGTGGGTCTCATTCCCACGGCTCTGTCCTTACGCCAAGCCACCTACTAGATGTTCCAATCTAGATGCACATCCAAAACGGAAGCCATTGTTCTCCCTCGAATCTGTGGCTCTTTCAGTCTTCCTAGCTTAACAAGAGGTGCTACCATCTATCAGCTCAGTGTGTCTAACATTTTCTTAGCATTTCCCATGTTACAAACCAGTGTTTAGAAACGTTTTGTAATTCTTCTGCAAGTCCCAAGACAAATTCTGTTATCTTTGCCATTACTCTGCAGGGCAGGGAACCAAAGCAAATACAGTCAAGCTGTTTTCATGAGGCCACAGAACTATCAGTGGAGGCAGGATCCAAGCCAGACTGTCTTTCTGCAGAGCACAGGGTCCTAATTCCTGTGTTCTCCTTCTGTTCTCTCTTAGGTGTTGTACTAGCTAGGGTTCTTATTGCTGTGATGAAACA